ATTAACTTCTGCATCAACTTTTATTTTATATAATAATTTTATATAATTTTTTAAAGGCAGATGTGTGTTTACTTTGAGAAATAAAAATGTTAACATTGAAACTGAAAGCCTGTTTCAGTTTTAAGGTACTTAATTGCCTTACAGCATATAATAAACCGAGGCCATCTTGTCCTTCAACTAATGGAGGGAGTGATAAAGAGATAGGAGCCCGGGACCCTATTCATTCCAGTTTTCCTTTGTACTTGGTTTACTTTGGCACCATGCCTTATGTGTATTTTACACTTCTTTACATTTTGTACATCCCTGTATGACAAATACTTGTCAAACAAAAACTAAACAGATTTATAACCCCTTAACTTGAAATGAGCCAAAATTGAACTGCCAAAACTTTATGACTTCATTTTCTTTCATAGTTTTCCACTACATTGGTTCAAACAGACAAACCCCACTTGAGGTCAAGCAGAGGTCATTTCACTTTCATTACTAAAATATAATTTACAATATGCCAGACCTAAACAAGTTTAGCCTAAAGGGTTTGTATAATGTAAACCATCTGTTCCTCAACAATACAGCTAATTTCCTGCCATCACCGTACAGTCTACTGACTGCTTCTTTAAGAGTTTTTATGATTTTTTAACTAGTTCAGGATTTATGTAAAATTTGAAATGAGTCTATAGTTAGGACTCATTTGTACCAGGTAACTTGAGCACCTTAAAAATGCAAATCACTGTGGAAATTGTTCCCCTGAAACCAAGCTAGGAGCATTTTTTTTCTGGGCACTTCTTTGCTGGCAGCTGCACAGGTGTTCGAAGGGAAGATTTTGTGGACTCTGCCATTTTAGAAGATTTCCATGCCTCTTTGCAAAGCAAACCCCCCAAATTTAGTTTTCAGTAGCTCTAGTAAATGACTCCTTGGAGAAGACTTGGGATTATATGCTATATGGCCCACTGGATATTGGTGAGATAGGACAAGATATACTTCGGGGTAAAATCTACTTTCTTTCATGTGTCTGAACAGGGAGAAAGAACAATTATAATTCCATAGAGTGACCACATACTGAAGGCCAACCTCCTAGCCCTGCAAGGTGGCAGGCCTCAGGCTGAGCCTCCAGAGACATTCGACTTCAATCTGGGATTGCTGGCCAGCAGGCTTCTCTGGTTTCAAACAGAATGCTGTGGCCCAAAACAGAGAGCCATGGAGTTGCAAGTGTGGCTGTTTCGGCTCTCCTGAAAATTCTTGATACTTTCTTTAGCCCCTTTCTCCATCTGTAAAATGGCAAAATTAAGCGTTCTTTTTCCAAAGGCAAATATATGAGAACAAATGTGCTTACCTCAGTGGAGGGGAATGCAGCTGGTCTTAGCCACGAAGCCCCAAGGCCATGTGTAGGGCTGGTGCCAAGGTCCTGTCCACCTCTTCCTCTTTTCCCACCTCCAGAAGTTTGACTGGCTTACTTCCTTTTCCCATCTGCTACCATCCACTTTTCTACATGAATTCTTGTTGCCTTCACCTTCATTCACATCTCAGAGGAGCCAGCCACAGGCCACTCAACTTCTCACCTACCCTCAAGCTCCAAAACAAATTCTCTGTCATTTTTAAAGCTTTTTTTTTTTTTTTTGTTAACTAACAACTGCAGGAGAACAGAGAAAGATTAACAGGAAGAAATTTAAATACTCTGGAACTACTTAAGGCTTAAATGGATCTAAATTGTTTGCATTACTTTACTTCATGGATGACTTTCCTAATAAGGACAATAAGAATGATTTAAAGAGCACTTATTAGGTGGCAATTACGTTCATACATCGTTGTATTTAATTTCTACTGCAACCGCGCAAGCTAGATAGTACATTATTTCATAGATATGGAAACAGAGGTTCAGAAAAGTTAAGAAATTTACCCAAGGTCAGTGATTAATATTATAGGGCCTATGCCACAGGATCATGGTGTTAAATAAGTTAATATTTGCTAAGTGCTTAGAACAGTAACTGGCACAAAGTAAGTGCTATGTAAGTATTAACTATTATTAATAGAAAGCAGCAGATTCAAGACGCAAACCCAAATTTGTAGGAGTCCAAAGCTCACTTGGTTTGAATTATACCATACTGCCTATGGATTTGTTTCAAGCAGTGAAGGAGGAGAGGGTATTGGGTTTCTAACTCCTCATTATACCAGTCTAATATTCCATGAGTTTACTTCCTAATTCCCATTTTCCACAAAGAAGTTTCAGTACTCAGTCCCTTAAATTTCTCTATCTCCAAAAGCCTAGAGATCTTATTTTTGTCAAAAAGTAAGTGATATCTACTGTGCCATTCAGGGGACCTTCACCTAAACTGGATTTATTTACATCATTAGGAAAAGTTCTGATGGAAATCTCCAATCTTAACATCATGCAGGAAAAATTCACTTTGGGTTACTCTTGCCAGCAAAAGTAAAATCTTCTGAGCGCTACAAGACAAAAAAGTAGGGTTGGCTCGACTGGTTACCTTTCTCATTACCCACACCTTGCTCTCTCAAAGGAATTCCACGAGCTCCCACAAGAATACAGACCCTAAAAGCAAAAGGAAAAATGGTGGATGGACTTGTAATTGCAAAAGATATTTCCTAGTTCAGTAAGATGGGAAGATTTCCCTGGTTTTTTAAAAAAATTAATTAATTTTGAGCGCTGTTAATATTTTCACCTGGTTGAAAAATTTCAAAGCATAAAAAAGCATGAAGTGAAAAATCTCTTACTTCTGCCCCCTTTTTCTAGTTCCTACTTCCATACCCCCAATAATCACTGCTATCTATTTCCCAAGTATCCTTTTATAGTTCTTTATGCTTATACAAAGAAATCTATTTCATGTGTTATTTTTCTCCTTCTCTCTTACACAAAAGCAGCACCCAGCATTAACTGTTCTGTTGCTTTTTATTTTTAGCTGAGCAAAGGATTTTGTAGACCTTTCCATACCAGTACATAGGAAACGTCCTCATTCTTTTTTTACAAATGTAGAATATTCTATTTACTAGCTCCACCGTAATTGATTTAATGTGTTCTCTATGGGGACAGGGAGGTCATTTGTAATATTTTGCTGTTACAAACAATACTATATTGAATAGAACTAGATCAATAAGCTTTAATTTGCTGAAAGTTTAAAGCAACACATTACCATTACTTTCTGTACAAGTAAACTTTCTAAAACTCATTTCCAAATATAAACCTCACAAAGTCTGCTTTGATGAACAAATGAGACCAATTTATAATGAGACAGATTATTTGCATAGAATAATTAATGTTCTAAAATCCCCAATCCCAATTTGTCCTTTTAAGTGGGTATTTTGCTGCAAGTTTATTTACACTTACAATTAGGTTAGTGGGCATTTTGCCCTGGAAAATATCAGCCTAGAACAAATCTAATTACCATGAATTCTAAATTAGCAGAGTTTGGATAAGAGAATTTTTTAACCAAATTTTCTAAACTGTTGTTTTAAACTCTGTGCAGAGAGCTCTGGATTTCATATGTATTTCAACATTGTCAGTTTCAATTAGAATTTTCAGGGTAGTATTCTTTTTAAAAAAATAAGGATTTCAAGGATGGGGATTATTTGAAAATCAGTTGTATGTAAAATGCATTGTTTTTATTACTTTCTTTTCTAACAAATTAAATGAAACATCAGACTAAATTTGAGGTATATTTTAAAATAGTAAAAACATATGACATTATAGACATTTACTTGCCAAGATCAAATGTCATGATTCAATACTTATTTTCATTGTGAGCTAGATGCCTTCACCTGTCTGTCTTAAGGTCAATTAACAAAGAACCCACTTGAGAAGCCCTAGGGATATACGTTGGTATGAAGGGCAGTGCTTCCAGTAAGATTTCCCTTGAATCTGGTTGTGAGGACAAAATATGTGCATAAAAAGAACAGAAACATCAAGTTGATGATAATAACAAAAGGTTAAATAGTACTTATCATGGGCCAGACATGGGTCTGAGTATTTTACAAACATTAACTCATAGGTCTGAGTGCTTTACAAACATTAACTCATTAAAAGTTTGCAATAACATGGTAAGTACAATTATTATCATCCCATTTTATAGATGAAGGAATTGAGGCACGAAGTTAAACGTTGTATCCGGGGTCACACAGCTGGTAAGTAGAGAAGGCAGGATTCCGACTCAGACTGTCTGGCTATGGAGGCCACGTGTGTAACCAGCCACCACACTGCTTTGTGTGTGTGGTGGCATTCACAGTAAAGGCAAAAGATTCTAGCAAAGAAATGACCATAGTGGTCAGGGAAGGTTTTGTAGGAAGTGGGGCCTGAAACAGAATTTTTAGAAAAGAAAAGATTTAATCAATGGAGAGGACCACATTTCAGACCTTCCCATCTCTATTGTGAGTACTTCAGAAGGACAATCTTTTGTTTTGGTTTCTCTTTTAGCACAATAAATATTCTAAGAATGGCAGAACATTGGAGAAACAAAAGTATTACGCAACAATGTAAATGGTTTCGGGGGTGGACATTGAGAAAACCTGTTTAACTAAAGAAGTAGCAAGGGATCATGTCAGGAAAGTGAGTTAGGACCAGATTACAAATGCTCTTGAGTACCAGGCCGTAGCCTCTGCGGTAGTGTTTCTGACACCCTAATCTTCACAGAAACCACTGGGGTCTTGCTGATTCAGTAGGTCTGAGGTGGGCCCAAGAGTCCGCATTTGCAGTAAGTTTGGGTGATGCTGATGCTGCTGGTCCCCAGACCACAGTTTGAGTGCCAAGACTCTAGACAACAGCAAGAAACCATTTCGGGGCTGGGTTGAGGGAAGGGGATAGGGTAGTGATGGAAAGTTGCCTGTGGCACCTCCCCTGAGTTGCAGCCAACAATTTGAAAGATATACAGACCTACAATATTTTATTTAATTTGTTTATAGAACCTTTTTCTATATGCCCCATCCCTCCTTTCGGATGCAAAGCTGTCTTGCCTGAAGAAATGTTTTAAACCACCTTTTTCCTCTCTTTCATACAGAGCAAGGCTAAAGAGCTGCCTCTTTCTGCTGTACGCTTTATGGAAGAATTGGGTGAATGTGCCTTTGGAAAAATCTATAAAGGCCATCTCTATCTCCCAGGCATGGACCATGCTCAGCTGGTTGCTATCAAGACCTTGAAAGATTATAACAATCCCCAGCAATGGACAGAATTTCAACAGGAAGCCTCCCTAATGGCAGAACTGCACCACCCCAATATTGTCTGCCTGCTAGGTGCCGTCACTCAGGAACAACCTGTGTGCATGCTTTTTGAGTATATGAATCAGGGGGATCTCCATGAGTTCCTCATCATGCGATCCCCACACTCTGATGTTGGCTGCAGTAGTGATGAAGATGGGACTGTGAAATCCAGCCTGGACCATGGAGATTTTCTGCACATTGCAATTCAGATTGCAGCCGGCATGGAATACCTGTCTAGTCACTTCTTTGTCCACAAGGATCTTGCAGCTCGCAATATTTTAATCGGAGAGCAACTTCATGTAAAAATTTCAGACTTGGGGCTTTCCAGAGAAATTTACTCCGCTGATTACTATAGGGTCCAGAGTAAGTCCTTGCTGCCCATTCGCTGGATGCCGCCTGAAGCCATCATGTATGGCAAATTCTCTTCCGATTCAGATATCTGGTCCTTTGGGGTTGTCCTGTGGGAGATTTTCAGTTTTGGACTCCAGCCATATTATGGATTCAGTAACCAGGAAGTGATTGAGATGGTGAGAAAACGGCAGCTCTTACCATGCTCTGAAGACTGCCCACCCAGAATGTACAGCCTCATGACAGAGTGCTGGAATGAGATTCCTTCCAGGAGACCAAGATTTAAAGATATTCACGTCCGGCTTCGGTCCTGGGAGGGACTGTCAAGTCACACCAGCTCTACTACTCCTTCGGGGGAAATGCCACCACACAGACAACCTCCCTCAGTGCCAGCCCAGTGAGTAATCTCAGTAACCCCAGATATCCTAATTACATATTCCCGAGCCAGGGTATTACACCACAGGGCCAGATTGCTGGTTTCATTGGCCCGCCAATACCTCAGAACCAGCGATTCATTCCCATCAATGGATACCCAATACCTCCTGGATATGCAGCGTTTCCAGCTGCCCACTACCAGCCAACAGGTCCTCCCAGAGTGATTCAGCACTGCCCGCCTCCCAAGAGTCGGTCCCCAAGCAGTGCCAGTGGGTCGACTAGCACTGGCCATGTGACTAGCTTGCCCTCATCAGGATCCAATCAGGAAGCAAATATTCCTTTACTACCACACATGTCAATTCCAAATCATCCTGGTGGAATGGGTATCACCGTTTTTGGCAACAAATCTCAAAAACCGTACAAAATTGATGCAAAGCAAGCATCTTTGCTAGGAGATGCCAATATTCATGGACACACCGAATCTATGATTTCTGCAGAACTGTAAAATGCACAACTTTTGTAAATGTGGTATACAGGACAAACTAGACGGCCGCAGAAAAGATTTATATTCAAATGTTTCTATTAAAGTAAGGTTCTCATTTAGCAGACATCGCAACAGGTATCTTCTGTGAAGTTTGACTGTGTCTTACCAAGCAGGACAGACACTAGGCCAGAAAAAAAAAAAACATTGTGGGATGTACACTCCATTGGAGTGCATGACATGGCATTGGGATTGGAACATGTGGTTTCAAGTACTGAAAACTGCATACCAGTGAAGAGAAAAAGAACCTTGTGATTAAATATAAAACCAAAAGTCAAATGGTGCTTTGTGTTTTAGCCTTCAGTCACCATGACTGGTCTCTCCCCCAGATGTATATATGCCATAGCATTTGTCTACCTGCTGTCTTTTCTTCAGGACAGATGTTCAGGAATTATATTGATTCGGTTTAGACTCTGCGCATGTTCTTATGGAAATGATGTTCAGAATCAATGAAGAAACTTCAGGCCAAATTTGAAACCCTGGAGGGAAATGAGCCATAAGACAAGTATAACAAGCCCTGAAGCCTTCTATGTCGTTGGGCTTCTTTGAGAAGGTGTAGAGTGTGCCTTTTTGTGAATCCTCCTCTGATCATGAGGGTCTTTCCCAGATTTTCTCACAGTGTGCTTACACTGCCCTTGGAATAACACAGGGCATCAGACCATAAAAAGGCTAGATGTGGGTGCTAGAATTGATTGTTGGTTGATAGTTCACTTTGCTGGATTAGGAATGAGGCGCCAAAGGAAGCACAGCCAGGAAAATGGCCCCACAGCCTAGATCAGTTTCTGTGGGAAAGGAAAAAGAGTTCCCATGGGGACAGCCCCCAAAGGAGTTTTCTGGAACCAGTAACACTGAAAAATAAGTGTGTGGCTACAGATGAGCACACCCACCCCTTGCAACTCCCTGTTTACAAGTTGTCCGAGGCATTGGGGTGCTTATGGTCAATGGACTCTAGGGAAGTAGGAAACTCCATCATGATACCAATGTCTAGTAATTTTTAAGTTTCTCTCCCTTTCTTTCTGTGCTGGTAATGATCACAGATTTGATTCCCGCCCCAAGAATTACAACAATTTATTCATACAGTTAGTTGGAATCCAAAGGTAATTAATTCTATTTTGTAAAATATGATGGTCTTCCTAAAAAACAAGTACTGAGTTCTCATTTCAAAAGTTACCAAGAACTGAATTCTTTAAACTAGCAAACAGAAGCAACATGACCATTTTTGCCTTAGTGGGAGGTTTCAGATGTGCAGCTTGTGGCATTTACCTGCCAACCATCTTTTGCCAAGTTTAGAATTCTTACGCGTTTCAAGTTCTGTATAGAAAGTAATTTTACTTTTGATTTTTTTCTTGTTAAAAAAACCCTCCTTTGTTCTAAGAACAGTGTCTCAAAGTCTCATTTTTACTTTAAAGGTATAAGAGACTTGTAAAGAGACTTACAGGATATAAAAGTAATTCCCGGAAATGATATTTGATGAGGAGAATATAAGAGAATTAAAAACACATTGATGTTTTCATTTTTACAAAATACAACTTGCATGAGAAATCAAGAAAATATGTTTACCAAAATGCATTGCAATTTTCCCAAACCTGAGTCTTCAAATAACAAACATGAACTTACAGGTACTGTGAACTCGAAGAATTGGCTATATCCAGATTTCTGGGAGATAAATTAAGACCTATTTTTGTGGCATAAATAAGCTGATTCAGAAGTTACGTTTCTTAACTTTAGGTAGAGGAGAATATTTGTATCCTTTTGTTGCTATGCAACTGTTTAATGATGAAGCTTCAAACCACAATTTTGTATATCATATGACAATCAATTGTTTTCCAAGAATATTTATTATTTTAAGTACACAATTTCAGTGAATCTGAGTTTTTCTAGAAGTCCCTTAAAGGGAAATTAGCATTCCATGAGCCAGTAAAATACCTACTCTGGTAAAACATTATTATGGTTAAAAAGTAAATTCAAGTTAGTTTTTTATAAAGAACTATAACATTTATTGTAAACATTTTATAATAACTGAAAACATTAAAGTGAGCAAATGAAATTTCAAAACCACTTGTAATAATGTATTTTATAATCGCACTGTGATACTATATAACACAGTCTCTTTTGTATTAAAATAGTATTTTTTTCACAAACTGAAAAATATCTTTTCCTTTGCTGACAGTGTTTTGTAAGATGACTTTGTTTTCAGATCTTTTTCTCTTTTTTTGCACAAAACTATGCTTATGGTTTGTGTCACAGAAGTGAAAATATATCTTTGCATTTTTATATCTGGTCTGTTTTTCTTGTTTCCTTTGTTTTTTAACTTGATATAGATTTTCTTCAAATATATAACGGCAATTTTCAGATATCTCACCCTACCATATCTTTCCTTATTTTCACTGCATGCATTTAATCACTGTATTACTTAATGTTTGATTTATTATTATGGGCATTTCAAATAGACAAACATTGAATTGTAATGACAAAAAGGCTATTTTATATTAAGGATATATGCATTTGTATTTCACACACCAGAGATGATATTAAACACTGATTATTTTATGCTGCTGTTTATTAAAAATGTTTACTATAAAATATTATTTCCTGAATATTGCTGTCATAGAGGTATTTGGGAATTTTAATATTTACATTTTATAGAAAGAGAAATCACAATTCCTCTTTGCTGTTATTTCATTAATTTTTTTTTCAGTAGGCTTTTAAAACAGACTTGGGCATTATTTTGCTAACAACCATAGGTGGAGAGGGGAATCCTAATGATTTCATAACTGAATACTATCCACCTATATATGGCAAGTTTTGAATTTTTAAAATCAAAATAATATATTGAATAGTTACAACCAATGGAATATAAAAAATGTTTGATTTTAAGAATACAGTTGCATCATTTTCTGCCTTGATGCAAATTAAAGTCACGAGATGACACTGATATTTCCCATTCTTTAGTAAAGATTAAAAACCTGAGAGCACCCAACATGAGTGAAGGTGTATTCAGATGGGCATGCTTGGCCTTGGCAGGTGGGCATGTGAATTGGCCCAGCCTTTCTGGTGGTAATTTGGTTAATCTACCAATGCCTTAAAAACGTTAAGGCTGGTATGGTGGTGCACATTTGTAGTCCCAGCTTCAGGAGGCTGAGGCGGGAGGATTGCTTGAGCCTAGGAGGTCAAGGCTGCAGTGAGCCATGATCAAGCCACTTAACTCCAGTCCGAGTGACAGAGTGAGACCCTGTCTCAAATAAAATAAAAATAAAAATAAAAATGTTTATATCCTTGAATCTAGAATTTCCACATCTGGGGATTAATCCTAAGGCAATCATTTTCTTTTTATTTATTTATTTATTTAGGCAATCATTTTCTTATCCCACTCCTCCATACAAAAGGCTATTAACCTTCTGGGCTAGAGCCAGCTCATTCTAGCTCTTGAGAGATGAGTGTTAAGTATTCTGGACAATTCACCAGCCAGTTGTTAGACTGTTGGTAGCTTGGCCCCGACACGGTGCAATATTTACACCATGGGCATCAGCAATGGCTACAACTCAGAGCTCTGCATTTTTCTGGAAAGCTGGTTTGTCAGCTCACGAGACACACACCCACCATGCTATTCCGTAGCCACTCACTCATCTGGACATCCCAGTGAAGACAAGGTTCAGTGTGTATGTGAGGTAGACACAGCAGGCTACGTGCTGCGGATTATGGAGAAAATGGAGCGAGTGTTGGAGTATGTGTGTTTAGATGTGTGTGGAAAGCCTCTTAGAGGAGACACAGTGCCCAGGACCAGCTGCTGCCTCAGGATGCAAAGGCAGTGGGAATGAACGAGAGAAACTCACTTTTTCTACATATCCTTTTGTAGTCTTTGAATTGTTTCCATGTTCCAAATTTTTTAAATGCAAAAGACAGTAAAAAAGAAAAAATCTTTTTTCACAATTATGTTCTTCTTGTTGTGAGTTGTTTGTGAATGTGAAAAATGAGACAACATAGCTGTCCGTGTAAAAGGGAAGGCTGAGTAAATCCCGCACGGTGGCCCCAGGCTGGGACACCATGAGCTTATTACAAGTGGGTGTTCACAATTATTATCATAATGGGGAAACTGCTACTGAGTTTACTGCAATAAAGCCTATTAGTTGTATACACAGTATTATCTTGATTGCACAAAAAAACCCCCAAACACGTTGGTGGGAAATATTCCAAACCATATACAGTGTGTTTCTGGTTAGTATTGTTATGAACAATTTAAATTTTCTTTTGCATTTTTTCCTGCACTTTTCCGATTTCCTGTGTTGACTATGAGTTACTTTTGTATCCACTTCCCTGCAAAATTCTATGTTTTGGTACAAGGGCTGAGGCTAGGCAAATTGTATCCGCCACAATCCTGGCAGGTCGCACCACCCTTGCGGCTGGCCTGGGCCTTCCACAGCCTTCCTGGTGTAAGGTCTGTGTTTCTGTGTCCTTCCGACCACTGCACCCTCGCCTGCCCTGACTGTGGTCCTGGCCCCATCTCTCCCCTTTTGGTGTGCATGTGACCGCGGGGGCCACTCCTTCCGCCCTGGCTCAGCCCCTGCGAGCACCCTGGGCCTGGAGCGAGCCTCTGGGCTGGGATTCCCTCAGCTGCAGAGGGAACGATGACAAAGCCTCTCCTCCTGCGGTGCTGTGACAGTGAAGCACAGTGCGTGGGCCGTGCCATAGGACTGGACAGACACATGGCACAGTTCAACAAACCAAATGTCATCAGGCTTGGCCAGAGGTAGAAGGAAAATCCCATTTCAGGCATTTTTGGGGTCTCCCTCCCTAGTGTCACATGAATCCCAAGGAAGAGAGGCTGAGGGTCTCACAGTGACCCAAGAGTCTGCCAGGAGTTTTCTGGGACTTCTCCTTGCCTGCGCCGATGAGTCCTTTTAAACGGGAAGTAAGTCTCTGACGGGGGCTTGGAAGATAGCAATTCCATAGTGCAAAAAAATCCACCACAAAACCCACAAAACACTGTTTTTCTGTTATACCCGAGCCACATAACGGGGGGTGGTTCCTCCTTATCCACAGTTTCAGTTACCCGTGGCCAACCACCATCCAAAAATAGGTGAGGGTAGTTCAAGAAGATATTTGGAGAGAGAGAGGCTACATTGACATGATTATGCAATATTGTCAGGATTGATCTATTTTATTATTGGCTGTTGTTATTCATCTCTTACTGTGCCTAATTCAGAAACGAAATGTATGCGTAGTGGATGTGGGGTTTGGTGCTAGCCAGATGAGGGGGAACTACTGTATTTAGGAAAATTTGCTAGGCGTCCTGTCCCTGGGATCTGGGGTTCAAGCCTGGCTTCACCAAGGCCACTGTGTGCCTCTGTGCCAGTGACTTCAGCTCCTTGTGCCTTAGTTTCCTCACTATGAAATGGGACCTGGTGCACTCACCCCAGAGAGAGGTTGTTCGGATTAGAGGTTGTTCGGCACCCTGCCATGCAGCCGCCTGGGCCTGTGCCCTCCCGGCCTGGAGTCCACCTCTCCTGGGAGGGGTCACTGCTGCTGTGTGTGCCCTGGGAGCCCCCCACTCCTGCGCATCCCATTTTCCCGAGCCACCACTGTAGGCCCGGCATTGTTGTCCCCTCCCACACGTTTTGTCTCTCATTTCTGGGGTAACATTTGAACATCTGTGTATTTCACATAAGAATCCTGATTTCTGGTTTCTCCTAAACTGTCAGAGCCACCTGGCCGGACTTGGCTCCCGGGACGCTCGCTAGGTTAGGGAGGGCCACCTCCTTGTGGGTGAGGGACCTGCAGACTGGCCTCCCGTCTGGCCCCTGGGGCCTCTGGGCCCTCACCCGATAGCACTTTTCCTGTAGTGGACTGGCTTCTGGATGAGGTGGGGACAAATACCTCACAGGCTTCTCCTCTTTCCTGACCCCACATCCAATGCCTAGGCTGAAACTGGCCTGGGGGCGATCTCATGAGATGAAAGGCACACTTCTTAGAAGGGCAGTGAGGGTGGCCTCTGAACTCACTCCCTGCCACTGGCAGGCCCAGCGTGTTGCCTGTGTGCGGAGAGGAGTAGATGTCCCCGGGCCACTGCTCTGAGTGTCCTGGAGCCCAACACAGTGCTCTCACTGATCCCGCGGTGAAGGGAGGGTTGGGGAGCAAGGCATGGACCTGGGGGACATGAGCTTGCGCTTGGGCCCAGGCTGGCAGGCAACTGGCAGGCCACCCCTCCCTGGCCTGGAGGGGACCATCTAGATTCTTCCCTGCATCCCCCCGGAACCCAGGTCCCCAGCTCCTGCCTGCCCCACCCTCTGCCCACAGCTCCTTTGACCAATACCTGACCTTGACATTCTGTCACCATCCTTTGCGTGTTAGTGGCATCATTTACATTGATTAATGACACCAGAGAAGTCCCTGTGTTTCTGCCTCACTCTAAAATCTTAATTACGCCTCTGGAGGTCCTACAATCTACATCTGCGATGGGGCTTCATTTCTGCTAAGGCCTGCAGGCAGCATCTGGCCAGTGGTCCACTGGGACCTCTGACTCATTCTTTCTGTTGTCTGCTCTGTACCAAGCTCCAGGCTGGGCTGAGGACACAGAGGTGAACACAAAGTTCTATGCCTGCCCTCAAGGAACTCCCAGGGTGGTAGGGTTGGGGGAGACACACGTGTATACAAATAATTAGAATTCAGAGGGGGATCCTTGCTGTAAAAGAAAGAAGTCCAGGTCTGGGGGACCCTGGAGGAAGCACCTGGCTCGGGCAACAGAGCCAAGAAGGCTCCCTGGAGGAGGGGACACCTGGGCTGGGTGTTGAAAGACATGTTTTGCAGGCTACAGGGAGAGAGCCGTGCAGTGGGCATAGCAGCTGCGAAGATAATGAATGGGGCAGGGAGGAAGGGGCTGGGAGGCAAGGGTGTGGAGGAGGGCTGAGGCTGGGTCCAGTCGCACAGATGGCCGGCTCCTTTTTCAAGTGCATTTGTGGTGTTACCAGAGGCCAAGGTCGGGAGGGGTGGGACAGAGAGCCCGGCTCAGGGCTCTGTCAGACCAGGGCCATGATTCCAGCTCCTCATTTCCAGCCAAGTGACCCTGGCACATCACAAACCTCCCTGGGCTGTGGCGTCCTCATCTGTGAAATGGAATCTATGAGAGTTTCAGGTGGGGGCGGTCCACACAGGGATGGCTGCAGGAGGGAGTCTCTCCTCTGTCCCCCAGCTGAACCCTGAAGGTGGTCCCCGTTGGTGCCCTCCTCCCTCTCGGGAGACTGTGTCAAATGCCACAGGGAGCTGAGTTTGGCCCTGTCCCCTGGTTGAGGAGTTCTGTGTATTTTTCGGGGGTATTGCCTGCAGAGGCCCTGGCAGGTTTGCTCACCCTGGGCTCCCCCCAGGGAGGAAGAAGGGAGATGCAAATAGCTGCCCTCTCCTATGTCCACCCAGGGCCAGCCCAGCTCTGTCCCTGCACTGGGCCCCCAGGGAGGGTTGCTCCCACAGGAACCAGGTCACAGGGCACGGCAGGGGTCTGGGTGAGTGCCCAGGGCTGGTGGCCACCTTCTCAAGGGGCTCTTGAATCTGACTGAAGGCCACACCCAGTCCGCTTGGGTCATTATTACCAT